ATATGAAAGTCATTTGCATTTTTCACCGTATTAAGTATCGTTTTGGAAATAAGAAGCTTTATAGGCAAAAAAATTAAGTTAAGTGTTTTTTTACAATGTAAAAGTGTGCATTGTGCATAATTAATTCTTCCTCAGCGTAGAATGATCTTTGATATTTAAGCTTAGTAAGTGCTTAATAAGAACTCAGTACAATCATCATATGCCCCACAATTTTTGTATTCTTTCTACTGAAGTTTTAATAAACAACTGTTAGTAGAAACGTTTTATGCAGACAGTTCAACGTGCCATTAGACTATATGCTGTGTTGGTCCGCGGTGTCCCCAATATAGACCTATTAAGTGCAACGACTTACCGAACGATGGCTGAAAAAGAGCGAAACACTTTTGTCCTGTAACCTCTCGCTTGAGCAGCATTGTGAATCGGCGGAAAAAGAGCCGGCAAAAGATATTTGATTGGACAACAAAAACAAAGCCCATGATGAGCACATCAGCGCAAACAAAGCCCATGATGAGCACATCAGCGCATGTCCGCAGCGTGCATTGGCGAAAAATGGATTTTAGGTTTAGGTAAACAGAAGTGATTCGAAAACCAACAACTCATTCATAGAGACCACACCTATACAGTACCATCATTTCTGGGAGTTTAAGCAAATGTTGTGTTTTAGTATTTGTGGAGAAATCGTCATCTCGTCAGAAAACTTGCTCATTAAATTTGTGATGTCCTTCTTGAAACCATACTAAACCATTTTTTCTAATCCATTGAATGTGACTTTTGTCAAGGAGGAAGCATTTTTCGGGGGAGGCATTTAACATCTCAATAAATAAGCCTTAAAATTCAAGARGTTTCTGAAAGCAAAATCATCAGTTCCACTTTGTAAGAAGCCCGGGGTAACAAGAAAATGATGCCAAATGTTTCGTAATATTCAGTCAATCAAAATACCATGAAACTTCATTAAATGACCTACCTTTTAATGACAGATTAGGTATCAGTGACCATCAAAATTCTGAGTACGAGCATTTATGCACTAGTCAATTGAAACCTCCGCCCCCGGGAATACCSGGAAATTAACGTTTGAGTGGTGTTAAAATAAGGCATTTCTCCCGTTAGTCGGGGGCACATTCATTGTTAAAGATCCCCGCTACTGTTGCCCCGTTATTTTGGTAGTATWAAATAACAAAACAAAACCCAGCCTTTCAATCAAATTTTCTGTGATACACAGGGTTAATTTTTGCACAATCCTGTGTACTCAGTTTTCGTACTACATGAGGTTAACTGGACGGACAATAATGACATGTGTAATAAGTTTCTTTTAAAAATTTATCATGCAAAGGAAGTTGCCAGCCTCATACATGTTCAAACGCGCGTTAAAATCCCCGCTCTTTGCCCCGCTTCGAAATTAATTCATCAAAATCCCGACCCCCGTGGGAATCTTGCTGTTAAAAAGCACGTTAAAAACGCGTCACGTCCCCGTTCAGTGCCCCGCTAGCCCCAGGGGTCGGGGGCAGGGGTTTCAATTGACTAGAGCATTAGTAAATCCTCACAAAACGAAGAAATGCAATGTCATCTACACATGGGGTGCAGAAATACCGCAAATCTTGCTCTTCAGACCAATTTTTTCGATCCCAAACTAAGCGTTGTCATAAACTTMAATGATTAAACATTTAAATAAATACAATTTTGTCTTGGAAGGCGACTTACGATATTCTGAAAATTTTCCTCAAAGACAAAAACATAATTTCATGCATAAACAAATTCTCTGGTTTGGAATGTTTTACTTGCACTAGTTCCAGAGGTTTCTGTGTGGAAAAAATCTCTGTTCTTTTTTCACAGAGAAACCTCTGGAACCAGGGTATATTTTATTTCGAGCAATTTTTATGCGGCAATTTTTAATTGCCCGTGTAGATGAGCAAGATGGCCAATTTTTATGTGAAAACTGTAGTTGCTGGAAAGCTGGTATGCTAGTTTTTATGTGACAATTAAAAATTATCACATATGACAATTAAAAATTGTCACATATGGAAAATTGCCCGTGTAGATGAGCGTCACATAAAATGTTGCAATGATTTTGACGTCACACATATATACACTCTAGATTAATCGATAAAATCTCTGTTTACGAACTCTCAGATGATCGATAGATAACTTGATTTTCGAATGGAAACTTACCGTTCATACTAGGTAAACAGGCGGGAACTATTTTCCTATTTTTCTCAATAACAAGCGAGGCAATTAAGCAAAKATGAATTTAAGTCTTGCAGTGTTTTGTGTCTGTGTAAGCTCAGGTAAGTATTCCAAATGAATGGAAATTTTGTCTAGTAACAAGCAAAATTCAGTGTATCTTCRACAATCATTTGYTGCCTGTCCRCACAGACAAATAAAAATTGCCGCATATAGTTGTCACATAAAAATTGCTCGTGTAGACGGGTCTTAAGCTTACCTGGAATTACAGCGTGATTGCGAAAAAATGGCACACAAAATGCACAAAATTTATTACGTCCTTGAAAGTGATAATTGTCACATATGACAGTCATGGTGGTGTAGTTTCATGTGAATCTTGTTATTTCACAACAAATTAAATTGGTCTGTGATCTCTTTTGAAAAATTCACAATCTCGTACTCAGAGCCGTCGTTSCTCGTCGTTCCAAGAGGCTCTGGGTACGAGATTGAAAAAAATCACGTTCCGTAACCAAAGCATACGGCACGCATGCGTAGTASAGACCAATTAACTCGATCAACTGCAGATAATTTGTACTACGATGAACCAGTGCGGTCATCAGTTGTTGTCAGATTAGYTTGATTTGTATCTTATAGCAACAACTAATTGCAAAAACAATTGCAAAATCACATTGCAAAWATTGAGAGAAGCCTTATAGGCCTCGAATCCTTGTCCGGTTCATAACGAATGACCTCTGGTTTAGTTGACTTACAARAAGATAAAGAAAGCACGAAAAGTTTTCTTTTGTTATTATATAGCCGTRTACATTGGAGCCTGGACGCGGAAACTCGATCAATGTTCTGAAAAACAGAGATGTGTCTGAGGAAAATAACACAGGGAAAAAAATCAAGTAACCTAATAGAGAATGGGTGTCCGTATCGCGAATGCATACACTTAATTCCCATTTTAGACGACTGTAATTCTGAATGACGGCTTTTAGGTTGAAATGTCATCTTTAAATTGCCTATGACGCCTGGCAAAATTTTTTTGTTTATTTTGWACATGGGTTCATATTAGGAACAATAAAGACGTTATTTTGTGCTATTTTTTTTTTAACTGTCCAGTCTTCAATTTCATCGTCGCCATACAATAACATAAATCCCTAGTTTACCGAAACGTCATATTTTTAATGATCATGAATCCTCCCGGCTGCAAATTTGATATTGCCTGAGTTATAATTAATGTTTTTTTTTTTTTCAAAATACAGGTCCAGTCCCTCTCAACCCTGTCCATTCTGCATCAGGTACTGGTATTTTGTCAGTCAACCGTCGGTGTAGAAAGCAAGATATGAGTCCTTTCAAGAGGGAAGAGGCCAGTTTGTTATGTAAGTATTGTTTACTTTGACCATTCCTCTAAACACTCCTCAGTCATTAACGTGTCTATCATGCGATCATGAGGAAAGCGAGGTACTTGCTCCATAAAAATTTTTAAAGATTAGTACTTATTCAAGGCCCATCATGCATTTTTTTCTTAAAAGTACTTCGGTAGAGGTATTGTTATTTCATGTCCTGTTCTCGCGTCCTGATGCTGCAAGGTAGCGCGTCACAAAGAAAGTAATAAAATGGCCGCCCAATTATTAGGAACGTGAAGGTCAAGACCTTTGACAAACATATAACAACGAGAAAAGCTACTATAACACTTTATAAAACTTATTAATAATGCATAAGCTATTGCTCCAATAAGGGCTGACCATTTAATCAGGTGATTGACCTTGTAAATCTGATACAACCACTAGTGGTTGTATCAGATTTACAACACGGTCGTCACCATTGAGACAACCCAACACTAGCAAAGGTCTCAGTTTTAGTGTCGCATCATAGACCTTCACTAGGTTTTGAAGCAATCAAAGACGGATAACAGAACTCGCTTATGCAACAGATGGCTTGCTTTCCATGTGGGATGGATAATTATTCAAAATGTTCTGTGTTGCAGTAAATTGCGCATGCTTAATAGGGACTAAACTCAGCAGTTACCTTATTTGTCATTTTTCGTCATTTATCTCACTGTAATTCATGTTAATTTGTGTTGGAGTTTTATAAGTCGTTTACAACATTCGCGTCCGTGTTGTATGGGAATTACAATCTCTCGCCTNGGCATTTTCATGTGCGAAGTCTATAATATTACGTTTATAGAATAGTCTTTTAGTTGCTATAGCGACGTAATTGTCGAAATTCTGCTTATGTTAATTACAGATTAGCTCGCTAGTGGCAATTAATTTATTTAAAGATTAAAAGATTAAAGCAATTGAGCTGCAAACTAACGGTTTTATATTATATTTCAGCACATCTCCACAAAACGGAAAGAGACTACCCTGAGCTCATGAAAGTCCCACCCCCTGTGCTTGCAGCAACTTTGGAACCAGACTTYCTGGTTGTTCCTGGTAACAGCTACTTCTCGGACAGTCCTCCYTCCTCAGTAGGGCTGCGTGAAACCCACGTCCAGCATGAACGAAAATGCAGTGAAACTCGTGCTTCAACAGTTATTGAAGTTAAAAAAGAACACATTGACAACACGGTCGAACCSCGAAGATCATCGTCAGGGAGCAGCTCGTTCTCTCAAACCTCAGACTCATCTTCACGGAGCCCTTCGGAGTCTTCAGAAAAACCTTCAAGTATGGATGCCCAAAAAAGGCAAGACACAGCGTGTGACATTGAAAGCCACATTAATAAGATAAGTGATCCTGAGAATATTTCTCGTGATCAACAGTCTCATTCAAACGGAGTGTCAAGTAAGTCCAATAGTGGTGCAACACCGTTGGATTCACAAGTAACGGAAAGTACACCATCAAGGTTATCCCTGCTTAACTCAAATGCTTTAGAACCTACATCACCTTCGCAACTATCTCCTAAAAAGTCTCCAGTGCGTTTGATAAAAGTTTCCCCCTTGAATTCAGMTATTTCAGGTAATAGTGGGGTTGAACTTCGACGGCCTTCATTAGAATACACTACGAACCATGGAATTGTACGGATATCAAGTGCGACGTCAATGACATCKCCTATGACGTCACCAAAACATGTGTCTTTGGAATCTTCRACGTTTTCTAACAATATGCTTAAAAACGCGGTTACCTCTTATGTCAATAGTGACAACTCTGATGTACAAATGGTAACGACCTACTCTGTCGCTCAAATTAGTAACACGGAYGATCGCGAATGTACTTCACCTTCGAAAAGGCCGAATATCCTATCGAAAAACCGAAATCAAAACAAAAAAGACATTCCTCAAGGAATAGTTGTTCTTGTTCCTACTATCGAAGACGCCAAGCAACTTATTAAGTCATCGGGAGGTAATCAGAGTAAGACGCCAGTTTTGGTGCCCCAAAATGTTCTCAATCAAATCAGTTCCAATGGGGAATCCTCAAAAACAAATGCGGATTCTCGTGTAAGGAGTCCTTTTGTAGAAAAACGACCACAGTATGCAGATAGCAGCTTGTCATATTCACGATCGAAAAGAGGTCTTAGTGAGTCTATGGTAATTGATTAATGAGGTATATATGGAAGACTATATTTATGGCCTTCATTCGTAACGTTTCCGTCTCCCTTCAGTCGTCTTAGGTACACACAGTCAAGCTGGCTTGATCATTTTTAAAGAGATTTATTACATTACCATAAGAAAACACAATGTGGGYTTCACGAAGRGCTAATGATARTGTGTAATAATMTGTAAAACGTGAAAGAAGTTCGTATACAAACACTCGACATGTRTACGGTAATAAGCCTTTTCCATATCTGGAGGTTTGGAAATCAATCTACCATTGATTATCATGTCTGTGGCAACAACTCTCATAGACTACATTCTGAATGTGCCAAATTATTAAGTGATTAAAGTAAGCTTGAATTGGACAAAGAAATGTATGTTTGTAACTACAGCCATTCTATAGATTTCTTTGTAATTCCTAGCTAAACCTAACCTAAAAAGTACGTGGAGCTTTTTTATTCAGAAATGAACATTTTTTGGTAGAATTGAGGAAATTGCTCGCAGACCTCCCGGTATGGCAAAGTCCCCTGGGAAACCTACAGCCATCATATTCTGGTTCTAGAGGTTTTCTTTCTGTACGGGTTATATATTTTTCGTCATGTTCTTTTTTCTTTTACATGTTTACCACCCCCCAACAAATGTAAAAGCAAAAGAAAAAATACGAAAAATGTAAAAGAAAAAGGTCTAGAAAAGAAGAGAAAACCTCTGGAACCATACAGCCATCATCGATARCACGAAAATAAGTGAAYTAAACGCGTGCTGGATGTCCAATCCAGTAATGTCTATGCCTAGGTCTCGAGAGCTGTTTTTCATGTTACAACATGGCTGACACTAAATCCTTGCTGAGTTCCAGAAAAATTAACCAGAAAATTAAAGAAATCTGAATGCCTTTAACTCCTAGCGCATAACTGAAGTGCATAATTCTAGTGAGTGAAGATGACGGGCTTTTTATTCTTTTTTGTTGCATTTCATGGTATTTTCAGAGAAATGAAGGTTTCAAATAGTTCACTTTCGATATTTAAACTAACTGATCAACTACAATAAAATTAAAGGCGAGGCCGCGGGAGTGTAATAGCTTATTCTATTACCCCGGAGCCTCGTCTTCAATTTATATTTTTGCAAAATCGAAAGCGAGCAATGATGGCGTAGCATAAGCTATTATTTATTATACAAAATGATCGCTTATGTATTATTTATAATGCGATGAGACTTGGCTATTGAAAAAAAGGTTCAAGAGGCTATAGACACTCCAACCATTTGTGAATAGCTATATAAAATATCTTTTACAGTCAATTGTAAAAATTATGCCGCAAACAAATATCATATAAATATATCGGGTGCATTGTGGGTAATACATGCGCGAGTTATTCCAGCGTGAGTTGCGTGAACTTGGTATGACCGGCCACTGATTTTATGACTGCATGGTTTTGGATAGTAAATTGTATCGTACGTAACATGACTTAAGAAAGCAATAGCGTGTATTCAACCGAGAAATTGGCTATATGAGCTGCTCTACGTTTTCTTTATTTTTGCAGCTTTTAGTGTCTTGATATGAGAAAATGAATTTGAAATTAAATCACATATGGCTAAACATGAAGCTCTGTAGCAGGCCTGCCCATTCTATATGTGTGTGTTAATGTACGGAAATTTTCCTTAGGATCAGTACTGATTTAGGTTTTTTCATAAACGTACATGACATTTGTTCTGGTCAAAGTCTGCAAAAACATTAGCATATGGGTTGTGCACTCGAGAGACTCGCACGCGATTAATAAATGTGACTTCAAAGAGTCCAGGGGAAAAAAACACTTGCCACCAACGACCATTTTGCACCGCTACTACGCAAACTCACACAGAGAATACTTAGAGAATCAAGTTTATCGAAGATAAAGTAATAGCTTTCTGTCGCCGGCCGTACTATCTTGTTCGCAGTTCTACTTGACTCATATAAACAAGCAGTAAAACAATGAGTCCATTTCTAAATGCAAGCCTTACAATAATTTTTTCGGATTTACAAATTTCCTTTGCGACATTCAATTCTCAGTACATATCTACACTTATTTTCTACAGCTYATTGCAATTTGCACAAATATCTACGAATTTCAAAGTTCCCTTACATTTTTGCCACTAATTTCAACCTGGTTAAATGGATGAAAGTGATCAAACAGCTCCATAAAACCAGTTGTTCTCCTGTATTTGGAGGGAGGGGAGGGAGGGGCACTTATACTCAATTCACGCAACTATTACCCGGCATGTATCACCCACAATGCACCCGATGTATTTCTATAATATGTGGTTGCGGTCATAATTTATGCAATCGACTGTAAATACTTTAAATGACAATTATTTTGGAAGCAGTCGACTCGATGAAGAGGCAGAACTAAAAACTGCTAATGATTGAGATTCAACAAATTCAAGTTTCATGTTGCACACATGGAATGAATACACTATAACGTTCTCTTCAGGAACATGACACTATTTGAGATTAGTTATACTTTCTGGGGTGGGATAGATTATGAAGGGAGAGGTTATTTGTTCACAGTATGAATAATAGCAGCTCCTATACATTTTATCAAAAACCGACCTTAAACTGGTGAACATATTAATGATATTTAGGGATAATTAACAGTACGTCAGAAGGTTTATGTAAATGTGATTTTTACTCTAAAACAAATTATTTGTAACATTATTGAATACTATACAATGTATGTTCCTGATTAAAATATCTAAATTATATTTATAGAAAATTTATCTTTAGTTTACTTGTGGTTTAATTAAAGCRATTACCGCAACTCTCGCTTTGATGCAAATAAATTGTTCTAATGCTCAAAGGCGCCCTGTAAAGTGGCTACAGTTTTGTAAACTTACTAAGAATGAACATCAGCGCAAATCGTTGGCAGAATGAGCGCGGCATTTTCCGATTGAGCAACTGTAGCCACGTAGCTCGTGGTTCCACTTGAGTTTTGATAATTTTCTGACGTCATTTTCATTGTCGATAAGCGTGCAGACAATAGAAAAGCGATTTCGATTTCAGCAACCTCTTTCCCAACCTCTTCCAACGAAGTTCGATTTTTAGACTCGTAAACAGTAAGATCCACTAGGCAGTCGACTTTAGTGCCAGCTCTGAACTGATTCCCGTAATACTTGGACAACAGTAATAATTATATTGACTATAAATAGTAACAGCTCTGATAGCTCACGTTCCCCGACAGGATTTCTAAATAGCATCGAAATTTCAGGCGCAGCAAGAACAAATAAATAGGAAGCAGTATTACCAGTATCCATGATTCTCAGTCTTTTTGCAGGACACATCCAATTTTCATATTAGTAGATACAGACTGCTGCAGTTGCCTCTGCTTCAGATGGTCCTGATGCATATAGCGAGCCATTGGGCGTGAAACAACATGTATGTACTTCATCTGTGTTGCACTATTTACGTAAAAAAACTCTTTTTAATTAAACTATGAAACAAGAAAGTATCAAACCAATATTGGCGATTTGTTTCTATTTTTACTCACCTCTAGTTCTTTTACACATTCGCCTGTCTTGGTTTTCCAAATTCGCACCTTTAATTTTGTAAACGTACTAAGAATGAACATCAGCGCAAATCGTTGGCAGAATGAGCGCGGCATTTTCCGATTGAGCAACTGTAGCCGAGATACCAAATTCAAATGCCAAGCCTCCACTTAACAAAGAAATTGGAATAACATGGTGGAAGCCGTTGTAATAAAACTCACTTTTCGCGTAAACTAAAAATGTATTTTTTCCTACAACAATACATTTATTAGTTCTAAATTCTGCTGTGCTTCCTTTTCATCGGAGTTTTGTTTACCATGGATAATCTACGGATAAAACTGTTCTACGGATAATCTTTTAGGAACATTTTCCCAGTCCACTTTAACTTACCGTCTGGTCATCAGATGCCGAAGCCAAAAGTTCTCCAGTTTCATTGAAACAGCAGGCCTGCAAAGATCAAGTGTAGACATGAGGTCCAAGCTCGTAACGATTTTTTGTTTGTTTGCTTCGTTGCAGGGAATTACCACTGATTGCATTCTAATCATCGCGAGAACCAAATAATGAGCAAATTGCAGTATCTCAAGTATATAGCAATTTCAGATAGTGGATACAGGACCGAATTGCATTCTTTGTTGGTCATTCTATCGTAGTTCAAAGTGAGTTTTCGTGTTTTCAGTGATTTTTCCAGCTATTCAATGGAAAGCAATTGAGTTAAGAATTACCATTTTCTAACCCAGCTAAGCTGGAGTTGCGGTCTTGGAATGTAATGTAGACAGTATACAGATAGTATTCAATATTTTTTTTCGGTCCAGTATCCTAGTCATTTTCGCGATTGATGCRATTGGCTAGCGCGCGGTCCGGTTTTTCACGATCTGTTCGGTCCACGGTATCCTGCAGCTAGGCTGCGAGCAAAGTTGCATAAAATACAAATAAAAAAAATAAAAATGTTATTTACTGGCTGTAGGTCGGTCCGTATAGGAAAACACGGCCCTCAGTCTTTTATATATTGAACTCGCTGCGCTCGTTCCGTACTGTCAAGACCTCGGGCAGTGTTTACCTATACGGACCTCCCAGCCGGTAAATAACATGTGTTCAACGTTATCTGAATAACCGCATAAATTATGATAGATGTTTTTTAGAGGTATGATTGTAGCCTGCATGCATACCTGGACCCATCCAGTATGACCTTTTAATAAGTAAGCTAATTCACCAGTTTTACCATCCCAAAGCCTTATAGTCATGTCCCAGGATGCTGAAGCCTGCAGAGCATCAAAGAAAAATATCGGTCTTCATTAATTTTTGGAATTTTTAATTTAGTACTTTATCCACGATAAAACACGAACTACGAGTTTTTTAAATGACTTCTAATACCCAAACCTAAGAAACTACAATATTTTAGTTTAACATGAAATAAATAAATAAAAAAATATCAAAAATGAATAATTAATGAAGATAGCTCCATCTGAGCATGAAATAAAACTTGGTTTCCCACATCCAAGCACCACTATGTTTTAGTCTGCTATGACTCTGCAATAACAACATTACTTAAACTTGAAACCTAGTGAAGTTCTATGATGAGAGTCTAAAACTGAGAACTTTTCTAGTGTTGGGCACACRTTGAGTGTCTGTAAATCAGTTACAACACTGATGTTTTATGCATGAGTGTTATAACTAACGGCATTGCTATGTACATTGCCACCCAATTCAAATCYTGTGGGAAAAAGAACTTTTGTTTCTAAGAATCCAACTGTGAAATGAAAATACAATGATCAATGAGACTTAATTCTGGTTGGTTTGAATTGGGTTGAAGCCAATTCGGTCTATTGGTTAGTTATAAAACTCATGTTTGATTAATCAGTAACTTGAGTTATAGGTTCTGTCATGTGACCCACAGTTGAATGCTCATTGGAAGAATGTCTAATGAATAATTCATGAGTTTTAGATTCCAAAACTCATGAAGTATTTATTAGACACTTGATGTGTGTGTGCCCAACACTAGAAAAGTTCTCAGTTTTAGACTCATCATAGAACTTCACTAGGTTTCGAGTTGAAATGTACTTATTGCAGAGTCATAGTAGATATATTTTTGATATTTTTTTATTTATTTCATGTTAAACTAAAATATTGTAGTTTCTTAGAGGTTTGGGTTTTAGAAGTGATTTAAAAAACTCGCAGTCAGGATTTATTGTGGATATAATCAGTCGTCCTGCGGCCTCGTGTTTATATCTCACAATAAAACATTCCTGCTCATTTTGTAAATATCACATAGAATATTTTAATACTAAAATTAAAATTACTAAATATAGACTGATTTCATTCAACTTACCAAAATACCATGACAAGAAAAGGCTACTGCATGGACATTACTGGTGTGACCCTTGAGACACTTTACTGCTATCTTGTCTTTATCAATTGACCAAAGACGAACTGTACAATCCCATGAGCCTGTGGCCTGAACAAAAAATAAAAAGTTACCGTAGGTAGGTAGGTAGGTAATAAATAATTTCTTAAAATAGGCTTTTTATCTTTCTTAYATTTTTTGGTTTTTGAATATTTTAATATTAAAACTCCTTATCAACCATCCAGGTCTACTAATATGTTGACATCATGCAGGACACTGATTGTCAATCATTGGATACAGATCACGTACAGAACCATAATCCAGGGATGCCAACCCCCGAACTTTTCAAATCTTGAGAACGAAAATGATGACGTCATACCGGAAATGACGTTTCATAACATTATTGATGACGTCATCGCATTTATCAAATTTCGTTATAACTAGTGATTTGACTGGATGTATCTTAACCAATCATATTATAGATTGTATTGTGCAATTGAAAATGGCCGCGGATGGCGGGCAGTGTTATTGTTATCAAAAGACTGGGATTTTTGTATTTTTTCAGAACTAAAATGATATGCAAGGTAATTTGAGTTTTAATAGATGAAAAGAGTTATTTAAAAAAACTGATATATGAATCGTCATTATCCGGGAGATTTAGCGGTAAAATCTTGAGACCGGGAGAAACGGTCGAAAATCTTGAGACTCCCGGATTATCCGGGAGAGTTGGCATCCCTGRTAATCATTTTTATAAACTTCAATATAACTTGGATTTCTTCTCCTTCAGATTCCTCCTGGCTAATTAATTTCTTAATTAATTTCTTCTTAAATAACAAAAAATAGGAAACATAATTTAYGAAATCTCACTATAGAAAAAACATTAAAAGTGTGCTATATAAATACCACTAAATACTGCTAATAAAGTCTGCTAATATATTGTTTTCTAATGTTTAGTTAGGAAAGTTTTCATGCATTAAATCTTTTTGTGTTGCACAAATTAATTTTTAGTGTTTCTACTCTACTGTCGTGATACATAAATGGATAATCCATAATTTTGACAATATACAATTAACTTATATACCACTGTTTTGCTGTCTGATGAAAAGGCACACGTCTGTATAACATTCCTGTGTTTGTTTAAAGCATAGGCCGCTGCTCCTGTCTATAAAACCATTTAATTTTGAAAAAAAATCCATCAGAGAATAATAATACATGAAATTCACGTGAAAAATGCTTAGTTTGTAATACAAATGGAGTCTGGGCAAAAGTACTGCAGCAATTGTCAGGTTATTTATTGATATCACTGTTGGATGTTTAATTTTCCATCATGCTTCCTGATTGTCAGGTTCCATGCTTCACAGTCCCTKTTGATGGTGTTAGGACTGGGTCAGATACACCATTTAGGGTATTGGTATAAAACGTAGTTCAAGATGTGCTTGGTCTGTGGGCATATAAACAACATTCTAATAACATTTGTGACTGCAATTACAAGCCTGTCCATTTCTCATGTAGCTTATTGAAATTACGCTGTGTCCCAGATTTAATTTCAGGGTTCCGAGAATGATTCTACAAATGCTCAGTACTTTCAGCCCAGGACATCCATTGTTAAGCAAATACTCATAAATAAGCCACACCCCCTGATTTGGGAACGATTTTTTTTTTGGAAAAAAAGTGTGGCATATACATGAGTAAATACGGTCCTTCGTTTGTGGGACACAGGGAGCCCACAAATGTGTTTGTATTTATTTTTAATATTTTCAGAAGAGAATTAATTAATAGGCATTACCTTTAAGTTCCATATCARAGCTGAATTGTCCCATGAACCAGAGCACAGGTATTCAGAGTTTGGTGAAAAGCAACATGTCTCCACACTGTGTGTGTGACCTAGGGACAAATTATCATTGTTCACACATCAAATAATAATTGAAATGATTTCAAATTCTTCAAAGCATAGCTTCGCATCTCAGTGAGGGAAATTTTGAAATATTCCTCATGTGATTTCTACTATATCACAAGAATTAAGACAGTCAAAATTAAAAGTAAAGAAATCATAATCTATCATGATGATAATACATGTATCGTATTTTGTATTATCATTTGAAATACCTATATTTCAACATTTCGTMAACTTGATATTTTCACTAGTGAAAATAACACATTTGCGGTTTCTCTATATAGTGGAAGTAAGAAAAAAGCTATTTTACGACATAATTTGCTTTTATATACAAATATATGATAAACAGAATATTACATGGTCACTTGGAGATACGAATTTTATCTTCTCGTGTTGAARATCTCTCACTCCTTCGCTACGCTCACTCGTGAGACATCTTTTCAACACTCAAAGATAAAATCTGTATACTCCACACACCCATGTAATATCCTCTATTTAACTGTGCAATATGGCACTGATCATGGCACGGATACCAAATGAAGTGGTCCTGGAAAATTGCCTGGTAGTGATTCCAAATAAAAAGTTATACTGATTCACAAAGTGTAGCTGCACAGTCAAAGAAAGAAAGTTCTATTGATTTTGCAAAGTCATACCAAAATCCATACCCAGACTCTTTTCATATTCTAACTAAAACTCAAAGGCTCTGGTACCAAAATCCATACCCAGACTCTTTTCATATTCTAACTAAAACTCAAAGGCTCTGGTACACTCTGTGATTTAATAATGAATAACAAGGCTGATTATCAGTACATTTTCTTTATATTCTTGACATATCCTCTTATGTCCAGTAAAATCTTATGTCGAGTAAAAACCTGCATATGCTATGATTCTTTGCTACATCAAACTTTAGTGCAAAAAAAAAATATTTGAAAGTTGGTAATAGGTCTAATGATATTTCTAACTGAACCACAATCAATAATGATGGTCAACATGTTTGACCTCACATAAAACCAAAACCCAATTATTTAACCTGGATAATTTTTAGAAAAAATTTTAGTTCAAAAACTGTAATTTTTCAAAACTTGATTTTATTTTGAAGGRTTGCTAGGAAAGGATTTTTTCCAAAAACAAATTCAATCTTTTTTACCAAAACACTGTACATATAAACTGTTATATTCTAATATAATAGTGGCACAAAAAACAGGTTTTAGTTGCGGATAACCCTGTCACTATCAACACTTAATTTGTGAAACAAAAGTGTGGAGTCTAGAGGGAACTTAGAGGATGAACTGCAAGCAAAGGTTTGTTGGTTTAAAGGGTTTGCCTACGATAGACTGCTAGAGAGTAGGTTCTGAGTACAAGAATATGTACAATACAGGATTTTTGTATGAGATATGATATTAGTCAAGAAAAAGAAGAGTTTGCACACTGTGATATGTTTGCTGTTGTTGTTTTTTTTTTAAAAAGAATATCCCCTGTGTTGATCATGTATAGTGTATAGTAGAGAGGTACAAACCTTGAAGGCAAAAGATCCTCTTGCCTGTAACACTGTCCCATACTTGCACRCTGTGATCATAAGATGCAGAGGCAAAAAATTTTCCATCACAGGAAAAACAAACACATTTAATTGATCCTTTATGCTCATCCAGTGTGAACAGAACTTTGCCTGTTTTGGCATCCCATAGTTTAACTAAATGGTCATCACCTCCTGTTGCAACTTTTGACCAATCAGGAGAAAACGAACATGAATTCACCTATAAAAAACAAAACCCTATAAATAGAGATTACACACTTATTTATTAAATACTAAATACAATGTGTGCTTCGTACCTCATCCGTGTGACCAATCAACGATCTAAAGTCAATCTGTGTGAGCTCCCTTGGCGACACTAAGTGTTCAGAAATACGGCTTTCGTCTTCTTCGTCCTCTAGGTCTGTCAAGAACAAAGGTTCAATAGWAGTAGCTGCCCTCTTTGACGAAAGGGCATGTTCTTTTACAAAAGCCATTGTAATTACTACTACTAAACCTTGTTTTCGTCATGGGAAATTAAACAAGAATCAGCTACATTTAAGACGTTGGATTTCATAATGTAAGTTAATGAAGTTAACTTTTCGCGACAAAAAAGTAAGCATACACTTGCATAGTAAGTCCAACACTTGTACGGGCTTGACCAAGTAAAATTCCAAGTTTGTTGTGCAGAAGTCGAAAATATTTCACAATATTTGAGCAGACGTTTGTTGTCAGTTGGTTGGAGAACAAAAAACAACAGGCGTTAAAAATTGCATAGAGTGCGGAGACTGGGTCTTATAAAAAAACAGGGTTACACAGGCAGCCCATAAGACAGCCGAATATCTGGGTCCTAAGGGCATACAGTTAAAGTTATCYACTCCTTAGAATTTGAATGGATTTTTCCGTTGGATAAGGACCCGATAAGGATTTATCCTGGCGCTGGTCCACCCTTCTTACAACAGGCCATGACATTTAGAATGCTTGATTTGGAAATACCTTTAGAGCTCACCAAACAGCAGAAAAATAAACGAGGAACATGGACCGCGGAGCAGGGGGGGCTGGGGGGCTACAGCGACATTTTGAATTTTCTTAAATAAAGAAGCGAAGAGCCTCCTTATAAAATTTTAACATATATATTCTATAAAAATTGTGTAAAACCTGAGCGTGAACAATTAAAATTGAACCTTTTTTTCGAAGCATCTATGTGATTTATTGTCTGATAATATCGGTGACCGTGTGTACGGTAAAAATTGATAACCTCAAAACGCTGGAAATGATGTACTTTTCCGAGAGTTAAGATTTCAAAAATTTCCGAACCCCCCTAATACCTCCTCGCCGGTAGCCCTCCCAAACAAATTCACGCTCCGCGGTCCCTGAGGAAAATAGCTTTTTTCTTTTTTTAAGTGAATGGWCTTGACTTTCAGTGTCGAAAGTACTCGGATACCAGTCAGACCAATCTCGAAGACGAAGTTGTTTTTCAGGTTTTGGTTTTTGCCGATGTCTTTGATCAAACAAAATGACGAAAATAACAAAAATTAATCAAGTCGGATAAATCTAGTACTGAGCTGAGGTCTGGAGATCCAGCAAAACACGCTGYAGCTTCAAAGTGACGAAGCAAAAAAGTTCTTGTTCGGTTACCAATATCTGGACCATTTATGTTCTTTAATCTTGTTATGCACTGTCAATTGTTCTTTCAACAGCTGGAATGATAACATCACATACCAATAAGATGTCTKTGATACGCCTACTGAGGATCATTTATCGTCCTATTTATCGATCCGCACAATAGTTGAACAACTCGTACAGAGTCTTGTAATATTCGAGGATTGAATATTTGCAATGGACTCTACCCACTTCGACCTCTTGTTGTTCCAACGTCAGCAACTACAGTGCAATGTTTTAGATCCTTTGCAGAGAATTAAGGGAGCGATAGGGAGAAGTATGCAGCCTCGAGAAGTCGACGCCGTTAAAGCACTTTTGAATCGCGAAGTGCGCAACTTTGTATTAGCTGAGGTTTACGACGGGCAGCATTTAATGGAGGTTTTTGACCTCTGCTACGGTCAAGACAACCTCAARYTTATAGAACGGCTTCTTGAAGAAGCTGACCTCCAAAACATTTCTCAAATGGTGCGAAATTGGATGTCGAGAAACAGACGTTTGGTGCCGAATGTTTTTTATCGTAAGTAATTATGTTATAGCAAGTTTTTGTGTATATTAAATGATAACGTTAAGTTGGACAAAAATAGGACTGAAAAAGCCTGATCGCAGGAATTATTGACAAATGTTGATTAATATGGGTTTAACTTGCTTGATGTCGATACGTTTCACACCTTTCGCTCTTCTGTACGCTATTTTGTATATAGTAAGTAGCAGTCAGTCTTAGGTTATCAAGTGAGTATGCTTTATGCGTCTCATGGATTTAATAGAATCCGCAGCGATTCATGTTTTTTACACCCCTGTGCACACTTTTGCCAACCAAAATCGTTTCGAAACATCTGAGGTCGATTTATCAGAAACTGATTTTCTTATCACCCAAAATGATTTCATAGCTAAGTATTCGCGAATTTGCATCGGTCTTAATTTCACAAAAGTAAACAATGTATACTATAACTTTGTTATTTGTAAAATCATGAAAGGCATGCATGGAATCGTATCCCTATCATACAATGACGTCACATCAAAACAATTATGAGCTAATAACGGCATTTTTGCATATTGAACATACAATCGCTTATTTAAATAAGTAAYCATGTTAATATTCTATTAAAGTTGAAATGACCAAGGTAGTGAAAGCCAGGAAATAAATACAGCAATCAAGAAATGCGTTTAGTGCTAACGCTTCTTCATTTCTTCTTATTTCAGAATACGGTTTCTTTCCACTCTGGRTCAGAATRAGTCAAACTTTYATCAACTTCTTAAAACTRCGGCTTGAAGTTTTCAATACTTTAAAAAKCGTGTTTGGCATTCCAGAGACYGATCCAGCAATGGAACCTTTCATTTTCATGGGACTGTCCTTCGGAGATAAGGACACTTTACTGTGTGTGCTCGTGCCACAATCATTACGTCATTCTATCAAGACATCGCTTCAGTCCAGTGAGGTGRCWGCTCAACTCAGACGTATTCATATCAATGGAATTTATTTTTCAAGGGTCMGTAAAAAGTCAAAGAAGGAACAAGTTTCAGGATCCCAAWTGAGCATATCATCAGCATGTGAATCGATGACGAGTAATGATTTATACGATTCAATATATGAAGATGTACAATGTTCAGAGAGCCTATCATCGCTGCAAGAACTAAATCCCAACCAACAGAATCTCAAACACAAGCCTGATTGGACGACGATGAACGGCATTTACAATGAKCATGATTTTGATCGCCCTGGAAACAGACTTGAGATTGACAGCAAGCCACAGTTGGTTCGGATAAGTAGTGATTACGTCRTTGATACCTCTATCAGTTTGAAGACATCAACTTTCAAAGAAAATGAAGGCGTTGAGGASTGGAGTCAGAAGCCACAATTGGTGCAGATTAGTAGCGCTTATGTCGGACAAAACCCCAGCAATMKTATTKCTGGAGTAGGTGTAAAACCACCGTATGGCAAGTGTTTTTTTGTTGAATACCGGATAAATGCGCAAACATGTCCAAAATCAATTCACTCAACCGCACATGTCAAAGCTAACTCGTTTCAAGTTCCTGCCCACTACAATGATCATGCAAACCCTCTTGACGTAACGAAAGATTCACAGTTTTTGCAGAGTTCAGAGATCACTGAAATCTCCCTGGATGAATCTCTAATTCTCGAAAGTAGAAAATCGACAAAGGAATATGGTGTACACCGACCAAGGAACAAGTTATCTTGGGAGGATGAACCACATCGAGAAAACCTCTCTAGCGATAATAAATGTCAAGCTTTTCAAAAAGAACATAAAACACATGGACTGAGCAGAGAATATTACCATGGAAACGATCAGAATATATATTTGCATGGCGATAATGAAGTACCAGGTGATATCTCTGTCTCTTTTCATGATTATTCCAAGAAAACAGGTCGTTACTTCCAAAAGGAGAACAATCGCTATGGTAATGAGGATCGCTTCTGTGCCAATTCACAAGAACTTCAATATTATCTAAACTCCAATCTTGACTACCATGGTAACCAGCATGATAAGTATGATAATGCCAATCGAGATAACCATGACGAAAGTTTCTATAGAGGCAAATCTTCCARTTGTAGAAATATATCCAGTGATCACCAAAACGATGATAAAAGGTGGAACGAAGCAACCAAGAATGATCTAAACACTTATGATTACTATGGCAACGATAAAATCGATTCTGGCAACCAAAGGATCTATGACGGTAACAGGCATTGTCGCCTTCATGATTATCATTTCGATAGTAAGCCATATTACCAAAGGTACTTGTCTGATCAACGCAATGGATWCCACGATGACAATGACAAACAGCACCAAGGCAACGATCCTTATGGTAACGGTTGTGATGGTTACCAAGATAACAAGGTTTATAATCAGAGAAATGAATTAATGTTACCAGAACCAGAGCCAGAACGCACTCATCGCCCTGTAGAGCATCAGCCAAGCTTAAGTTCTTTCACCAATGGATTTGAGCCAATTTGCCACTCGACCCCCAATAGTTCGGTCAGCGGTTTTTCAACACACAAACTGTCTTTCAAATTCAGGRATGGCAATATAAGCAGCTCAATGCCCACRTTATACCACAGGGAATCCGAACAAAGAAGCAYTGATGGACGAAAACTACTGAGGCAGTTCTCGCCTAAATAYGAGAGTCAAGCTGACTTGGAAGACCATGTTTTTATGAATACACATGAGAATACTACAAAGTTACTGCCGTCTGATTACTATTGTGYACCGCCGAACTACCAAGAGGCCATTATTAAGAAGTCTTTTTTTTCACTAAGCTCTCTTGATGTTGGTATGTTGTTATGTGTTAAATATGCATAGAACCAACTTATATTTTTTAATTAAGTGCTAAATTAGAAGCAATTGGATGAGTGTTATTAATATGGCCAAGACCGCGGCATAGACGCCACTATGCTTCCATTTATGCCATTTATACTTGCATTAACGTTATGTATAGTTTAAAATACGAGAGAGTGCCGAAGACGAGAATCTTTATACCTGATAAAACACGACCTCGAATGTTTTAAACGGCTTACAAAACTCCAACACTAATTTGAAACTCAAAGTCGTTAAAATTCTAAAGTTTTTAAAATTTTTTAAAGTTTTGAGATAAAAAAAAAACTGATCAAACTGATCATGCGCGAATCACTTTACAAAGCACTCTTGTCATCCCACATCGAATACGCATAAAGTAAAATATAAGTTTTGATGGCTGTTCTAATGCAATCGGTTGACATCCTGCATTGGTCAATGATCAGGTATTAAACCTGAGACCTTTGCCAGGGTCATAATTATGTATGAGTTTTTTTAAGCAAGTTTAACGCAATTTTTACTCGCTTTTCAAACGATGTGCGTCTTGTTTGCCAACAGATATGAGGTGCAAGAAGGTGAAAAGTCCGCTGCTCTCGACGCAGAGTTTGAGCTCGATTTATAGAGAGGTACGTGTGATCGACTCTTGAATACAATATATAATTGGTTGATTTGAAATAAGGCTTCATGGATATTGTTTCTAGAAAGAGCAATTACTAAGTAAAGAAGAGCTTCAAGAAAGTATTCGATCTGCTGAAATTAAAGAATGGGAAAAACTAGTAAGTCGTGAATGTRGAAGCGATGATATACGTGAAAGACAATAATGRAAAGTTTGGTTATTGTCCTTTGTTTGTCATTTTCTTTATCATCGTTTTAAAAGCAAATAATATTTTGATGCAAGTCGGTGGTTGGCTGAATACGATGAGTTCTTGTTTTTTTTTTCTTTTGAAGCTCGATAAAGCAAAARACTTTATCAAAGCTGCGAAACTTGGTGACGAGGAAGAGGTGCAGTACCTGCTGAATGAAGGAGTAGATGCTGATTACATGAATGAGGTACCGGTTTTTCTTATATATCTTCAACCTTTTCCTGACTCTTCTTTTTCTCTTCAGATACGCAGGCTATTCCCTTTCGTCATTATTTCATCCGTCAATGAATTCCTCTTGTTTCCCAATTATTTCCCAATTACTTTGTTTGTTTTTCTAGTTCGGTCAAACAGCGCTAATGATAGCCTGCAGAGAGGGTCATCTTCAAGTCGTTAATGTGTTAATAACCTACAGTGCTGACTTGAATATACAAGACAGAGTACGTCAACATGATCTCCTCACTATGGTTGACTCCCAGCAGTAGCTGTTCTTTTCATTGTAATAATTGGAATTTGTTTCACAGGCTTTTTTAACCTACAATCTTTTGTATAACCATTTAGTTTGGTAAATCAGCTCTGCATGAGGCAGCATGGAGTGGCAAGCATCAGGTTATTGCCCCCCTCGTGTCGAAAGATGCTGATATAAATGCTATTGATGAGGTAAATGATGACAACACGCAACAGATACAGTTTATTTTAGACATCAGTAAAATGTTCTTTTTCATGARCAGGAGGGACGCACTCCCCTTCAGTTCGCAGCTATACGAGGGCAAACAAAAGTAGCCGAGGTTTTATTGCTCTTGGGAGCTGACCCTTCTATCTTAAACAAGGTGTGTCCATTGTCAACAATTTTTTGGTTGAATGCAAAGCTTGAATTCATGGATGCTTCATGGTATTTAGGTGTTGCATACGTGTGGAGTCAGCAGGRCCTGACTTGAGGGAGTACAGCATTAATTGACTGTTGTTCGTAAAAACCTTTGTATTCCAATGAACACAATGACATGTCACTTGCTCGATGATTCTTCATACCATACTGATAAAGTGTAATTGTTATGTAGCATGGTGAAGCAGCCGTGGAATTGGCCTACAAACGGCGTCATAAGGACATCATTAACCTTTTATTGAATTCTACGAACAAGGTATTGAAATGTGGATTATTTTTAGAAAAAACTGAACACATGGKCGCTGACATGGGCGCTGACATGGTCGCTGACATGGGCGCTGTTATAAATACAGAGGATGTTGGTTTAATAATAGAAAAGTGAAAATGTCGCGTCCTCTTGGAGTCTATTATGATTGGTTAACTCAAGTGGTCATATATATATATATATACTTTAGGAAGTAAGAAAAAACACGCGAAGTCAAATAAGAAAACTTAAAATTCGACATTTGAAGTCGGCGACATCTTTATCAAAGGTACATCTTAAAATCCTGTAACAATGTTTACTAGAAATAACCCAAAGTCACAGGGCCGGTTGAAAAAAGAGAGGGGGGTCCGTGAATCATGTATTGGGGTTATGCTCGCTACGAACATTTTTTTAAAAGCTGAGATCCCGTAACATGTCATGCAATTTCCACCATTTTGAGGACTATTGACAGCGACTTTATTTCCAATTATTCAACAAAAGCGGGATCCGAGTCCCATCGCACTCCCCCTAGAATCCGCCCCTATGATAAATGCAGAGGAAAAAACGTTTTTTGTTTTGTTTTGTGGAAATGATAGTGGCAATGATCGGCCAATATCATGAAAATGTGAAAATGGAGGTGGCAAAGCTGGCAATCATAGCTGCAATAGCAATTGTTGGAATGTTTCTTTGTATTGAAAGGATAAACACGATCGTTTTCTATTGGTTAAATATGGTCGTTATCAATATTTTTTTACTTTTTAGAAACGAAACTTGTGAAATCATCACTAGGAAGAAGACAGCTCTCATCCGCGTTGTTCTTTGATGTTGTATTCCTGCAGTTGAATTCCAGCCGCAAAAATGAACAATAGTTCAGGTTAATGAAAAAATTACACTTTCAGGAAAACATCCCAAATATATATATAAAATAGTCAAAACTACGAAGCAAAAATCACCAAACTTTCACATTGTGCAAACATTTAGTTAAAAGTTTTGAACATGCAGAATTACTTAAGTGAAAACTAGGCAGATTAAGTGAGTAATATGCAATAATMTCGAACTTTTGTCAAATTCAGTCTTTAAATCAGCAAAACAAAATATATGAATTATAGTTTAGTTTAGTAAGTTTTTAACCGCAATTCTATTCTCAAGTTATAGGAAAGTCAAGTCTGTGGGTAACAGTAAAAAAAAACAGAATTAAAGAAAATMATAAGTTTTTGAAAGGGAGAAATATAGATATTAAATATTATAAATGTTGTTCATAAAGGACATTGGCTAWTCAAAGGATGTCCTGCTTCAGTTGCGGATTTAGTGTATATTGGTTTTTTTATTTTGTACTATGTCACGGATCGTTCATTTTAACACGTGCACACAAAACTGTTCAAAATATAAAGTGAATATCATTGCAGCCTCTCTGCTCTATGATTGACCAACGTATGCCAACGTTTTCGTAATTTCGTCCATAACCAAAGACTTACAAGCCAGCCTTGCATTTTCCCACAGGGCCACGTGACAGGGCACATTGCAGGTGGGGCACCAGTTTTATAATTAGGTAGTTTCGTCCATCGTGAGTTAACTTCAAATATAAMAAAATGTGCTTAATTTAAACGACTTCTTACCTTGCAACACCTATGATTGACTGTTGCATAGTAATAAAACAAACAGCGCATGTTACCTTACACAAGCCACTTGGCATTCTCCTTGTAATCATAAGAAATTGCTTTACAGAACCACAATTACGAAAACCATAGCACCTTATCACTAAATTTTAGGCCCACATCTATGAATCACTTTATCGGTGTTCGCCAATTTCTGTTGTCTTAATAGATATACCAAGAAAATTCAGACAAAAACTTTCGGATTATATACTTGTGACAAAAAGAAAACGCCAAAAGAAAAAAAAAAACAAAACAAAACAAAACAAAACAAAACAAAACAAAACAATGAAGAATAATAGTTTAATTCGAGAATCGATGAAGACCGCTCAGTACTGAGGCAGCTCAAGAACGGTCATATTAATGATTAACTATTCGGGTAGACTCCACACTTTCTTGAGAAATGTTTCAGCCGACAAATTTAGAAAGTGCTGCAAGCACTCACAGACTTAGGATTAGTTTCTTCCTATTGAAGCTTTTATCGATAGCTTTGATCTTCCAAATGACATTTTATTCTTTATTGTAAAATTGCATTGACGTCCTGCAAAGCAATTAAGGTGTTTGCAAGGCTTTTAAGGTTCTCCAATTCGTCAATAAAGCACCTATTTCAACCACTCACTGAAAAACCTATTAGCGCCACGAATGGTTAACGATTGATGGACCGCTGTACAGTTTCATACAACTTTTCTATCAATTTTCCAATCAACTCATTCGAGTAAGTGCGTTTTATCGCTAATTGAAACACGGTAAAAGTTTATCTTCTATAACACTCACCAAAAAAAAGAAATATATGTATTGCATACAGAAACCTTTTAGTGTTGTTCATCTGACGTTAAACGATCGGCACTCTATAAAAAAGATTGATATCACTATTTCACTCTTGAAAAGCCGTTAATCAAAGATGGCGAACCTTTCTCCACTGAAAGGTAATTTACAACACGCAGATCGCTTCGTCTGGCACCTTTTGATTTATTGGTTTGTCACCCAGCGATTTATAAAAGTTAAAAAAGTGGAAAGTGGCATAATACTAATCAATTATCAGCGTCAACAATGTTTTTTTTTCGTTGAGTGTAAAGAACAATCGCTCCAAAATGAAATCGAATGTTTGGTTGGCTTTTAGTAATTGATAAGTCTTGAACTTACTCTTAACTGCTTTTAGATAAGTTCCTATGTTAAAGCAAATAACATTATCTATAAGACACATTAATGTATCTAAACTTAGGTTGGAAAATTGATTAATGGCCATTAAGGAAACAAGGCACTTTGACGGCGGCCACAGCAGTTAAAACAAAGTGACAAGTAATCCGACCATTTGAAATACTCCCAAAGTTGAGATCACTGTTATTTTAAAATAGTCTGAAAATGATTTCAACTCARCAATTTGTTTAATTTTCKTATAAGTTGGAACGATCCAYTGTGTCGTGTGGCTTCAAATTGATGGCTGTCTACTAACTTGCTGTGTAAGTGCGGAGACATGTGGGATATTCTCACACTAGTCATAGCATTTGACACTTTTAATGCGGGATTAAAAACGTTATGAGCACGCGAAGTGGGCCATCTATCTTTGTTACAGTTGGACTGTCATTTATTGTCAACATGACACGCATGCGTGATACGATTTTTGTCAGTCATTCTCGTGTAAAGTTTTGGTGTCATTTTCTTGTCAGTTTATTCATGAAAATGGATACCTTAGAGTGCRAAATATTCTCTGAAGAAATATATGGGGACTGCTTTGAAAATGAGAAAATTAATGCCTTTCGGAAAATTTACAAAGATGAAGAAATCTRATAGCATTGTAAAACAGACATCTGATCTCGGTGGTACATCTCTATTTGAGATCTTTTAAAACCTACAAAATGTAATTCCAAAATGTCTAAATCATTTAACAGTCAGTGATTTGTCCTGTATGCGTGGTCGACAAATCAGTTTCGTTTGGCGCAATTGGGATGCTTGTATAACTCGATAACCTTAGAATGTGCATTCTAAATCGTACGCTCTTAAAGCGTCAACTCGTGCCTCATAAACAACCAGCTGCAGTAGTATGTAATGTGACCAACTCAAAGTCAGTCCTGATAACATTGATGTTTGGCTTTTAGATATTCAGCACTGAATGTTTTGGTAGTTGCCTGCTCTATGGTCTTTAAGGTTAAAATGTATAACATAACGGTTGAGCGGATGGTGCAATCATAGTGTCGATCATTTAAATAATGATGATCTTTACTATTTGTATCCAGTACATGAGATCGTCAAAAATAGTTTTATTTAAAGAATGTTTCACCTTTTTTGACAATTTCCGCAATACTCGAAGCAAATTAACCATTAGAAGTACAGCCTTRCCCGCCGGTCAGGAACGAGTACAGCCTTGGGTCAGCTGGAAGAAGTAATGAAGAAGACTAATTCAAATTTCAGCTGCACTCTTGGTTTCTAATTTTATCGATATCAGTTGAGTGTTTTATGTTATTAATATGAAAATGATTAAAAATAATCTCATATGCTTTGGTATGATTTCTGTCACGCACGCGTCTTTCCGTTTGTAACGATTATGTCACGTAAAATGTATCGCGCATTTAGACATATCATTACCCCACAAACGTTAGGAGCAATCTTCCCCGAGGCAATCCTCGGGTTACATAACTATATCTTGTTCTTAGTGGGGTCTTACATTAAAAAGTGATTGTTTTTTAATACATTTCCGTAGTTCTAGTCGAAATCATTCAAAGATAACGTTCGCCAAATAGATGACACATTCTCAAATATATTCACGAATAATAAATGATAACAAAACAGTAACGAAACATTCCCTCTACACCCAAGAAAATGAATTACATGGTTTAAAACTGAACTCAATGAGAAAAATGATTTCATATATTTTTCTGATGTTCTCTGAACCATTCGTCTGGAACTTTTAACAGGCCATGTACTGTGAGGAACGTCTTSTCAGTATTTACTTGCCAAAGTAAAATCTCCTCAACGCCCAAGAGARTAATGACGTTTGGCAAACTTTTTCAGGCGGACAARCACGTTCTTTTTACCATGTCAAGCGACGGGTTTTATAGATGCTTSGCAGCGCCATGCTTCTTTCAAGACATGATAAATTACTTGTTATAATTTCGACAATAAGTGACGTTTTTATTATTTATTGTAAGATTAACTACGACGTCTGGATCTGAAAGACATTTTTTGTTTTACAGTGAAAACTGTTCAGTGCTTGGATTTTCTATCAACAACTCGGTAGATTGGCTGATGTCAAAGAATGAATGTCGCAATGCGAGTGTTTTTATTATAGTGTGTGCTGGGTGCTGCTATTATAACTGACAATGTACCTTTGATTCGTTAAAAAAAAAGAAGAAAAACAAAGAAGAGAATAAACTTAAATTTTCGCACACTTTTGAACTTTTATTCATTTTMAAGTATGTCTTTTAAATAAACAAATTGAGATTAACGTTGAAAAACTTGTTGTATCAATACACTTAACCACCTGTCTTCGCTTTGACTTTCCAAACACCAAGAGATTACATTTCTACATTTTCTAGTGTTGACGTTTTGAATATCCATTGAAACAGTTCTGTACAGCCGCCTCACTCTATTTGCTRACRATGCAGCTGAATTACAAAGAAAGAAAACAACTCCGTTAGAGTTGAAAAGACAAGATTTCGAATTTAACGCCTTCGGTGACTGACTTGTACTGAAATGAAATACACACAATTGCGAAACATACTTTATGATTTCTGTTGATCCAATTTATGCAATTTGTGTTTTGTATTAGTTTTGATAATTAAAACTCAGTCCCTGTGGCATTGTAAAATGTTTAACAAAACCGGGGGTATGTAAACACAGGAAACTAAGTTTTTCAGGTAAACTATAGTGTTTATTGTTGATATATTTTACTCGGGGCCGTCGTTCTCTGTTCTCTCCGACTATATTATAAAATAATTTAACCATACATCCCCCGATCACCCATCAAAATGGGCGTGGACCGGTATCCTGTGTCCCATCAAAATATCCTGTTAATTTTATGGTTTGTATCCCTACAATTTCGAGATCATCAACTTGAGCAATTAAAATTAAAATACAACTTTAAAATCAACCTCTAAAGATGAGCCTTATCGATCATTTTCATAAACTGCTGATCTCATTAATACATTCCTATGAAAGAATGACTCTTAATGTTTATTCTTGGGGTTTTTAATTATCATTTTTTTTTGCAAGGTTTTGAATTGGTGACTCTTTGATAGTGTAACTATCTATGACGTTTGCAATTAGAGACGGCTTAAACAATTAATACAATTAATCATCTTCACGGACAGCATTATCGATCTCTTTTTTTTATCTCTTTTTTTTATGCATCTAATTCATCTCCCATCATGCCACAGATTCCTTTTTTTCTTCCTCCGTCTTTCTATCATTATCACGAGTGTCGAGTTGGTGGTGAAGTCTTGTGCCAGGTTAGRCTGTACTTTGTATATGTTTCATGTCCATTTAGAGCATTTTCCTTTGCGTCAAAGCAAAGATTACCCATCATCAATTGAGTCCTATTGCAGAGTTGGTAGACTTGACCAGAGTCACTCAATTSAATTAATTCGAATTCCAGATTTTGATTATTAATAGTACCAATTATTGTGATTATTATTACAAAACTGTCAGCCAATAATTGATGAATTGTTGGATGAATCGGATGAATCACTAGTTTTAGATAACGAAATTATACGAACATGATGAACCAGCAAGTCATTGCTACTTTCATTGATATACGCGGGTTTCAGTCCTGTCGATTATTCAGTTCCATGCCACCTTCTCGCAGGCTACGTTGCCTGGTGATTCAAATAATGTAAAGCGAATCAAGGGTGTAGATAGGAAAGCGGGAAACTTGCTTCAGCAAAATTACTAGGAATCATTGAAGACTAGGAATCGGTGAAGACTGTTCGTACTTGCTTCCCAAATATTTCATTCAATTGTTAACTAAGCTAATCGAGATTGTTTTAAAAAAAAAATCAAAAAACATGGGTCACTTGACAGAATAAGCATAATTCGAAACAAAAACAAACAAACAAAAACAAAAGATTTAGGAATTAGAAGGGATTAAGAAAACAAGAGGAAGGCGTTTTTTGTCATTATCTTATATCTTATGGCTACTGCTGTGCTTATATTGATGGTTTATTTTTCGTTCTTGACTTSACTTTTCTTTTGTTGTTGACTTGTTCTTTGCAATGTTCGACCAGCCTCAGTAGTGTGGTTGTGATGTCAGTTATGATGCATAACGAGACCATCATTGATTAACTACCTCGATGAACTCTTAGTAAACGCTATCTTTGGAGTCCTCCCTGGACCAATGCTAATCGGACTTGTGATCTTTTATTAACACATTGTCCCCCACCTAACCGATCCCGACCTTCATAGCGCAGWGTTCCACTCAGCGTTATAGGGATGACATCTCAGACACGATAAATTGCCRKCCACCATTATAATAATTACAATCTTACACTTTTCCTTAATCCGACATCTTGGATCAACTCACGCATGCGCACTTCATGATAGTTTCCCCTTAACTTTGCACTGATTCGGTATGACTTGGTTGAACCACACGATCAATATTTTCTCAAGACGTGAAAGCTCAACAGCAATAAATGACAAAAACAAACTGATATCGAGGCATTTTCTCATTTGGTCAAGTAACACGGCTGTCATTACCCCAAACATGGTTCACTTATTGTACGAGCTCCATCACAAACAAGTATTCTTATAATCCAAGCGATACCGAAATTTCTTCTCAAAAGTGTATACGATCAGTCAGTCAAGTGATTTGTTATCAGAAAAAATACCCAGATTTTTCTCATTTTGCCAAAATAATGGCGCCGTTCGTTTTGATTTGATTGTTGTGAACAATGAAACACTAATGATCTTTTAGTCAGGGACAGGGATTGTTGTTTGATACTATTAAGTTTCTTATATAAATAAACTTTGGTATTTTCGCCTTTCCGTCATCTTGATTGCAATTTGACGAAACACCCCCCACAACGCAGAACAACTGAATAAATAATAGTATAGCAAACAATGGTCCCCTACCCTACCCCTGTTAGGATAAAAACCCTTGTCATCCTACTGTCGAAATTCTCCTTACGAAGGTTTAAGGCTTRTGACACGAGTAGCGATCTTGTTCTTGTATTTTTAATAACATTGTAGCTTTCCACAATTTTGGTTCAATTATTGCTTACTTCCTCATAACTCATTCTCTTTTGTGCTACTAGAAAGCGCAATTTTACTAAATGAAATTCAATTTAACATCAAAACCCTTTCTAAAGTCTTATTGATACTAATATGGTAACTTTTAATTCAAGCTACCCGCAAATCAATACTTTTAGAGTGTCATCCCCAATAGAATAAAACGGAAAAAATGAATCAACAGACTGAAAGAAAAGGAAGCGAATACTTTCATTTAATAAACTTTAATTGCTCTTGTAGTTTGGCATTTATTTTCTATTATATACACGAATAATTATTTTTCTTTTCTATTGTTCAATGTTTGGTGAAGTGACAAAGTTTCATGTAACATTTGATGAATAGAGGTTCCTTAATTGCTCTTTCTTTATTAAAAACTCCAACGTTTATTTACATTCTCCGCGAAGGGTTCAACGTACGGATAGATGGGTTAGAGATTGTCAATATGCTTTTCACAAAAGTTAATTAGCTTTCTTTTCCCTGGCTGACAATCCCTCACAAATCTAACCGTGTAATAAGTGGTGTTGAGATCATGGCGCCTAAAATCTTCCAGAAATGCTTATTCTCAGAATTGAAGTCTAAATCTCAGGGTACTCTTGAAAATGGCTTTTTAAGCCAAATTAGCTTCCACTAAAGCGCCTATGACAGGCCATTTATTTCTCATGCGAAGTAATATACTTCAGAGCGCCCAAAGCTGAACAATACTAAGTTTTTGTGGAATTAGAGTGAGGCTTTATGTTGTCATCAATCAAACCAAGCCTAGCTAATTAGTTCATAAGCTCCAAGCCATCAACAATAATGGATGTTTCACAGTAATATATCAAGAGTGTGTTTTAAGCTTGCTTTCACGAGTCATATGTCATCATTACTGTTAGAGTGGATTTAAGGCATGTTAATCTGACAGCAGTGAGGATCGGGAATTATCTTAGTTTGGTGTTCAATGTGCTGTTAAATTGCCTTAATCCTACTCCATTAAACTGGTGAATGCGTTGTAGGGTTTTGGGACAACAAAATATTACAAAGATTTAATCAATTATTGGATTGTCATTCTGAGTAAAAATRCCCCTAAATACTATGAACGTRTACTCAACGCTATGAGTTTCTTGTATTCATCATTGTGGTCGATCGTCTTTGACACTTTCGCTCTCAAAGACTAAAAAGTCCCTCACAGTGCGGTTCCAGCGGTAGATTTTTAAAATCACGGTATTGATTACCGTCAGATTTCTACGATTTAAAACAAATCCATCTAAAAGCTTGGAAGATCTCGCAGCCAACTTTTAGACTACTGAGGGGATCACCATGATCTTCACACTCTGATCTTCAGCGCCTTTTCTGACGGAGAAAATTTTTCTCTTGATTCTAAAAAATAAATCCATCTGTTTTCTTATTATCAGCAGACCTATGGAAGCAAAATAGAAAGTGGATTTAAAGTCGGCCTGTCAAATACCTCTTAGTCAGTTTGTTGTGGATTATGAAGTAATGGAAACTTTTGTTAACAGCCCTTTTAAGCCTGTCGACTCCTTTACATGTCTTAATTTAGCTGCTTAGTGGCGGCGTTTTAGTAAAACCGATTTATTTGTGGGCCAAACAAAAACTTTTAGCCGTTAGTAATGTAATCATTAGCGGAGACATTGTCAATAGCAAGGATAAAACAAGATAAGAAATAAACTTTTTTACTAATTGAATGTTTGTGGGTGAAATTGAAATCAATTTAAAAATGGGAAGCAAAAGACGCATTTGGAAATTCCTAGTTTTGATATCAGGATAACAAACCAGTCATTTGGTGATTTACAAACAAAATGGCCAATGATTTTAAAAGGGTATATTAACTGCTAAACATAAAACGGGAACCACAGGGAGGAGATGCAGGACCAAGTGAGACAAAAAAGTAAAGCGAAACAATTCTATAGTTGCGAGCATAAGAAATAGATAAAGCCAGAATAAAAGAGACTAGATAGGGAAGACAAGCAATAAGGACGCCTTACTGGTGCAAAAATATACCACAAGAACATAGCCAAAGGCGAATTAAAGCACTATAAGAAAGCAGTCTACCTGCCGACCCGAGTAACAGATTTGTAATCTATATCCTTGTTTTGATTTTGGAATAAAGTAAAGAATATCCAAAATGGCAACCCGGATTAGTGGAACAATGACGTCATTGACCAAAAATATCACTGCCCATTCTCTTTTACTTGAACGAGAAGTATTTCATTYTAAACGCGATAAGTCGTGTCCTCACTAGCTTTAACGAGATTTGAGTTCATTTTGTGCCCTACAATCGGTTTTCAATCAAACTCTAAATTCACAGTGCCTCAGGGTGAACTATACTTGCTGACCTACCACACAAGACTAATCTCAGCACTATTTTGAAATCAGATTGTAAAACGACCATGACAAAAACCCAATGAGCTAATAATCAACTCGTTTATATCTCACTTACAAGCTAAAAGGCTCTAAAATGGATCAAAAATCGATTCGCCTACAGTTTCGTGTCTGCAGTTTCAATATGGCCATTTTACCCTTTTTGAGAGCTATTAAAGTCTTTTGAGTTTACTATCTTGAGACTAACAGTCTAAGCTTAACATGTAGACCCTTTTTGCACAGCTTTCAATACAGTTTTCAAATGTGTGCTAATGACTTCCTGCCTGAAGAGTGGTTTTGAATGCTTGGGCTATATATTGTACTTAAAGTGTGCCTCGTATATAAAGGATGCATTAGCTCGTGTTTTACGCCGGCTCGTTTTGTTTTATTTAATTTTAGATTGATTAGCTTTGCACATTGCTCAGGAAATTACCGACCAAAAAGTGGGATCTAATAAAGTGGAACTTTCGCCTTCAATAGAGGATATACATATAATACATATATATATTCAATTACGGCTTGTTAGCGGATCTGTTTTGTTATTTCATTTTGGCTTTGACAACGCTCCAGCTTGTGTAAATCAATCATTTGTCTTTTGTAATAAAAGCGAAACTTGTATAGAAGACAGCTCTTCAGGAATTAAGGAATACAGAGAAGTCTGACAATACGACATGATTTGTTATTTGTTTGCATAGGTTTTCTAAAAGCCCCAACAGATAATGAAAGTGGAATTGTAGACATTTTTAAACAATACAGGCCTTTTCTCTTCTCAGAAACAGGAATACAAGTTGTCAAAATTGATGACTGTATATTAGCTTAAGCCCAAGCCCTTTGATATGAAAACTAAATACTCATTACATACGCCGATAAATAATGAAATGATGACAAGCATTTGGCAAAAAGCTGAGGCTATCACACTTACCGTTTGCTTGGCAGCATGGATCTGTTTTAGTAAATTGGGGTCGTCATTCTCGCAAAAAAGCCGTCCGTTCACGACATGAAATCTGTCTCCCGAAACGAGTTGGTTGTGACAGGTCGTGCATGTAAAACAGTGCAAATGATAAACTTTGCCCAAAACTTTCATGACAAGTTCAGTGGCGGGAATTAACTTGGCGCAAACCGCGCATGCTCCACTAGTTCCATATAGTCTAAAAAAGCAATAGCAAGGAAAAAAGAGAGTGTGAGCACCCACATGGCTATCTGATAACATGGGATTTAATAGGCTCTAAGTAATTAAAGATAAAAGCACATAAAACCAATATTTGAAATAGCTTCAAACTGTTTTTCACACAACCATTCAAAGTGTCGGGTATAATTCACTGCTGATGTTAAACAGTCCAAATTGAGCGACAGAAAGATATTAAAAAATGTTATTGATTAAAAACCCAAAGGAAGACAGATTGTGTCACCATCGAGCAAACAATCGCTTCAGCCAATTTCRAGTCAAGGCCTAATTTTGTGTTTCACTTCTTTTGTTCAGGCAAAAAAGACATTAATAAAACTATACATAGATTGGTGGGAATATTTCARCATCAATTTGGTGTGTAAGTTCGATTGTTTTTTCTGTGACGGGTTAGCAATACGCGGTGGTCCCTGGATTGTCAGTAATTGTTTTTCTGGTAATATTGATAAAAACACATTTAGCACACAAACCCCCTTGATGACCACCGAAATGATATTAAATTTTTTAATGAAACGAGACCCCAACAGAAACCCACATCGAATTACACAAACACTGTTTCCAGGATAGTGAAATTTAGAAAAATGGAAATCGGATCAAAATGTGAAAAGTTTAATAAAATTTAGAAAATTGAAATATTCGTCACGAAAGGTTTGTGATGCGTGTATTAATATATGAACCTGTTAGAGTATTTTACCTCACATAATCCGTCTTGCACAAAATCATACCGCCTTTAGAATAACACGAAGTCCCAATTTCACCCAACCGAGCTTCACAACACGAGCACTTTAGGCAGTTTACATGCCAATACTGATCCAACGCGAACAGCAAAAACCGATCGATGATTTTATCACCGCAGCCTGCACAAACCTTCATATTCGGGGCCTGGCCTCGACCTATAACCAGACAGAAAAACACGATAAAAACCTGCTTATTAGTATTGATGAAATCTCCTCTCAACAGTTCGAAATATTGGGAGAATTTAAGCCAAGCCGTGTGTAATCCAAGAGATTTTTGCGATTGTACTGAAATTGAAAGCAATCTTCAATTTTCGTGTGATGAAACGATCCGGATCATTGGCGAGAAATTAATTTTACGCTCTGTAGAGATTCTTAGTATATCTAGTAGAACAGCGAAAATACGATAATCACAAAGTAGGAATATTTTCACGAGCATCACAGGAGACTGCTAAAGAAAGCGCTACAAAACAATAAGGTTTTTTCAGATGCTAGTTTTGTATACTTACTTGCGTTAGTAATCTGCTCTTCCATGTCCATTAAACACTTAGGAAGTTGTCTTGAGTCGTAGTGGAGACCTACAGTACAAGACACTCACGTTTAGCCGACGGCTTTCATTTGTTGGGCCAACTCAATACACACTTGTTTATGATTGAAGACATTCGTCATATGACATCGAATGAACCCTAATCAATTCTGAATCAAATCAACTACAAACCCCAAATGAGCACGCTGTAATTAAATGTCATCGTCTAAGTGATGTAGCTATTACTGCTTGACAAATAAGGGTTGTGATTGGTCGACAAGTTGTAATCATTCTGACGCCAAATCATTCTCGGGCAACTGACGTATCAATGAGTTCAATTACTAGCCAGATAGCTTATATAGAATCCTATTTGATGGGTTTTAATTAAATCACATGGCATCAGCCAGCAATTAATATACCTGTAAGAACACGAAAAGATGGTCTTGTTTACTTCGTTCAATAAGACTATTTATTGAGGTCAATGCAGTATTTTTTTACCCCAGTGGGGTACAGTGGGATATGCAAGACATGACAAAGAATCGAGACACTACGCGTTCTGATGCTAAGCTGGAGACGTGAGTCTGATAATGATACACGATCCAATGAGAGCACTAAATTGTTTTTTTCATTCTCCTCCAGGGAAAGCAATTTATATGACTCTGAATCGCTTCAAAAGCTTATTTGTTAGTTACACAATTGGATGTAAACGGAATGCAATTAACACAACTGACAGAATGATCCTGCGAACATCTGCTGGAGCCAGATTAAACAAAAGACTTTAGTCCAATCACGGTGCACGAGTGCGAAACACCAATGCGGAGTCCCCGGCTAAATCAATATCGCCCGAGGCTGACTACTGGCGATTCATTAGGCTTAAAATAATTCCTGTACTAATTATAAAAGTAATAGAAATGTTTGCTCTTTTCTCAAGTGCCTATTATGCCGTCTTGCCATTAATTAAATGACCGTGTTCACGCATGCTCATTAGGTACCTTTTTCGCCGAACGGTCGTCGTTGCTAGGAAGTCTGGAAGGCGAGGAGTGCAATTCACTTGTTGATCGTGAGACCACTGAATCAATAAGACTTTAAACTGACACCGAACTGGGGAAATCAAGATAACGATGCAACGCTCACTGTGTGTGCTTGAGCGTCCTTTCAGACTGGGATATTGTTCTATATAAGGGGTATTCGTACTGTTTGAGAGTTTGATCATACGTAAGGCCTGTATAAGGAAAATCGATTAAGCTTTCCCAGCGGGCGAGTCGAAAACATTCCATGTTAGACGACCCGAATCATCAGGGTTCCATACAAACTATGATTAATATCAAGCCTGACCGTAGCGGGTCTCTCACACTTTAATTAACGTCAGAAAGATTAATAAAAGCAAACGCCACACGGGCCTAAGTAATGAAAAAAATTGGTTTAACCCAAAACTAATTGCATTGGCTATGTAATCTTTAATTTGCTGAACATTATTAAACAATTCATCAAGTCTAACTGGTTGCAATAACTACGCAGCAATTTTTTTCCTTTCTAACTAGCGAAGTGTTCTTACTCGCCCGATATAAGCTGATATAGCTTTGTGTCAAAGAGGCCTTACACGTTATAGTATGTTATGTCAAGGGTGTGTCACTTACAATTAATAATTACTAAATGTAGTGATATCTCAGGGTGCAATTGAATTCTTTTCACTCTAATCACAGCGATGGTCAAATCAAATAGCGAGGAGTTCAGAGTGCGCCACAAAGAACTGTTGAATCGCAAAAACGTTCTCTCCCACGAGGACGGGAGTTTAATTAATTTTGCACATTATTTCTTGGCAGGAAATATTGACCACTGTTAATATTGTTGTGGTAACAATTGAGTTGCTGGATAGCTTAGTGTGTACAGCTATTGATACATTGGGCTTAAGACGACAACTGCATCAAAGCACCTAAAACCGAGGGACTTTGTTGTATTTAACTGTCAATACTTCCACTAAACTACTAGAAAACACATTATCATTTACTTCTTTAAATAAACCTCGTGTTTCGTTCGGTATTTTTACTTAAGTTATTTAAAAGCACTATACAAATATTCTGAATATTACATATTTCAAATTACATAATGATTTTACTTTTAGTCTCAAACTGAATATATGTTCTTATAAAAACTAACAAGAAATCTGAACAAAAGCACTTCAATCCATCAAGTTTTGAACACGAATTCACAGAACGATGTACAGATACATTACACAGCTGATGCTGAAGCTAAAAATTTCAGAAAATATCAAAAATATATTATACAATCTAAAAATAGTTCGTTTTTCAGATAACTGAGAAAAAGAAATTCAAGAACTGACTCCGATTACTCCTCGTGATGTGTAAAAACCATAAAATTAAATAATGCACTATGTATCAAATTATGAAACATTTAARCGTTTTGTCAGAATCTTACAGCATATATATATACCTTGTTTATCGGCTAAAAAAAAGTTAACATGACAGAAAAACTACTGATATATTTAACTCAGTGACACTACAATGTAAACAACTGACGATACTTTTCTTATAGTTTATGTTTACATGAGTCAAGGTACCGCAAGAACAGATTATCATAACTTGCTCCACAAGCCTTTATTTGAAAACCTTGTAAAAATTTGACGAAATCTGTTGAACTCTATTCAATTATACTGGAACAAAAACCAGGCCACTTAATCAATCAACTACCGATTAACAGTTTCTTGTTATTTCTTCATTTCTATATTACATGGGGGTAGACTTTACATTCTTACATGCTCAAGGAAGTGAAATCTGACAATTCTGAATACCAATTAAATTTTCTTTGCACTTATTGAATCGAAAAAGATGTCAGAAGTTTGATGAAGGGAAAATCCGTAAAATTTTCCTTGGAAACAGGAAAATTGCATTTGACAATACCACCGACGTCAGTCATCAGATCAATATTGCTCTACTAGCTATGACACGAACACTTTAGCCATTACTGCTGTTGCAGATAACACTGCTAGCAATCGTAAATCCAGTGAGACCGATAAGAATTGTGGGAGTTGATTTATCACGAAACTTTCATAGTAGTTACCACATCTAACGAAATCTTGCTATGAATGTCAGGGAACATTTAAAAACTATCACAGACTATTTGACACTAAGATAATCAGATAAAACTGAAAGGAAATGCCTGTATTGGAGGAGGTTTTTGACTGTGAACGACGTCTTTGTTTAACTGGAGTGTCAACATGCTAAATGCGTCTGTCTGTCCAGTAAAAGATTTGTGTGTCTCCCTGCCTGTCCAAATGTGTCTGTCTGTCCATGTCCCGCTTTAGTAAATCATATGTTGTCTAGCATATCATCAGGTTCTGAACCTTTCTTATGTGGAGAACTTAGCATGGATTTGCTTGCCTTTTGTAAATTTTTACTTCAGTTATATTTAAGTTATCTTAGGTTTTTCGGGTAAAACGACCAAAATTTACACTTCGTACTCTTAGCATGGATTTTCGTTAGTCAGCCGGAAGTAGCAAAATATTTTAGCCTAATTTCCTATCGCTTATAAAGACGATATTATATTTTCCAATGCATTAAAACATTAGATGTTTATATTCATTTCCAAAACAAGAATTACAAGTAATAAATCAAATGCTACTCTCTGGTACAAGGGACTGGAAAAGAATTCTTCTGAATGACAGTCCATTTGTGTCGGTCTGTCCATGGATTTATTCAGTGTTTCCTTGGATACATGTCTGTCGATGCAGTTGAATGCGTGTACTAACATAGCTGGTCGATTCAAAACGAGCATTGCATGTGATTAATTCCTTTGATATAACTCAGCAGTGAATCAAACACAGCAATTGATGTTTACAGTCAACATCGAGGCGCGTGGATGGAACGTTTAATTATTACAAATAGAACATTTGATCTTCGAGATAAAACGTTTGGTCATAAATACCCGCAAAAGGCCCATAGTTGCTTGGCCATCAACAAAACCTAAAAACCACTAAACGACCCTTTGTTGGTTCCAATAATACATTGAAAATAGTATTTACATAAATGGGGTCATTAATCAGTAAGTGCAAATAACACTCTTAATTACTATGGCAGACACTAAAAGCTAATTGAAGAATTCTGATCGCGTATTGGCTGATCTAGCAATCGTTCTTACAGTGGTGTGGTAGGAATATTGATTCGATAATAATACTATTGTGAGTCGACGATTTTGAATATTTGATTTTGAGTAGAAAGATTCAAAAGAATCAAAGATTCATGATCAATGACCTCTCAAAATTCACTTTGTGTACATCAAGGTGTATTCACGATGAGGTACAAAAAACCACTGAAATGAAACGATTCGCCTACAAAAGGTTTCCATTCGCTTTTTTGAAGAATTAAAGCTGATTGGAAAACCTTTTGAAAATAAAATGTCTTCCACAACAAGAAATCTACTCTTAAAACACTCACGCTATTCAAGAGAGAAATGAATAAAGAAGTCAAACTATCCTACTAAAGATTATACAAAAACCTATTCATTCGATTGCCTTACCGGAAAACTTTCAACGATGTGTAAATTATTTGGCGGTACGGAGCGTTTTCTCGTCCAAGTTCCACTAGAAGCTGTAGGTTCGACGTTGTTGTGAGCGTCGATGTCCGTTGTTGTCCTTGCTTTAGTCCGCTGCAAATGACAATTACCAAAATGCATTCAGATAATATCAGCCACAGCGCAAAACTTCTTCAAGGGCCTTTTTAGGCTCAAGGGGTCTCACGACCATCTAATGGTAATGCTTTTTGATTATGCCCCATTAACGTGAGTGGTTTAGCCAGAGTTAAAATACTCGCATGGGTCGCGCTGTATGGCCGGCGCACCGCTCTGCTAATGTATATATTTTAGCCACTGTCACAACAGCGCTAATGAGTGGCCTTTTACCAGCGAAGCGAATTAAAAGAACCCTAAGGGCTTCACAAAGGGGTACTTAGAATCTTAGCAATATCGATATTTCTATTATTGTCAGTTGCACTTGACGCTTTATCATAATTAGTGCGCTCTGAAAGGTTCGGGCTTATCTCTTGTAAAGAACAAAAGATGGTCCATGAACACTGGTCATGTGAGATAACACTCGCTAGGAACTTTGATCAATAGTTCCTCTAAATAAAGAACAACTCTTTTTAAAGCCATCAAAAAGCCATCTCTTATATGAGATAACTTAAGGACCCTTTGAGCCATTTCAATAATAAAATTAATAGTTGTTGGTCTGCCGCTAAAACTCCCCGAAGACACAATGACGTCATTACTTTAAGGAACTTTTTCCTGCTTATGTGGTGCCTCTTCTATTTATGCGTATTTTTGATTTTTAAACTTCCATGATCAAAACCTTCAGTTGTTTTTCCGTCATAAAGAAATCAGTTGCCTTTTAGGATTTTGCTGATAGACATATTATCAATTGAGGAAGAAAAGCCTGATGTGAAGAAGCAAATTTAGCCGAGTTTCTCCTAGTTAACTTCTCTACAAAAACCTTCAAAAAGGTTTCTAAAATACTACAAGTATCAATGTGATTTACAAATGGTTTTTGCATTTTGATGGAATGATTTATGGACTAACCCTGAAGGAATGGATGGCGGTGTTTGTGGGCGAGTCGGTTCACTAGCTAGGGCGTCTAAAAGCCTTCAAGTGGCAAAGAGTCTACACGCTTACTTAGCCATAATTGTAGGAAGTGCTCGAGTGCTTGGAATAGCAAGGATGACTCGAAAAAGGCCAAGAGTACAGAGGAAATTACCGATGATGAATGATATCTTAATGTAGTGGATATTAAGAGAGCCAGGCAATCTACCACTAATCCAATACTCACAATGGACCCTTTATCAAAACCAAAGAGGAATAATTTCTTTAAACGTTAAAATGAAGTAATAATCCTATTAAAACGACAGTAACTTACAGTAAAAATAGACAAAACTTTCGAAGGCTTAACGTAAAAAAAGACCATATCAACGAGCACTTTGAGTCTCAATTATGAGCATCGATCAAACTAGCCCTAGCAGGAAGCAAAGCAAAAACAAACACATCTAATGGATTAAAAGAGCTTTTTCTGTTTTTACATAATGGGACTAATAGTTGGAACAAGAGTCCTTTCTTTTGTTCTAGCTTTTAACCAAATAACACTTTGTATTTGACATCAAATGAATCAACAATCTTACGCAAAGTAATCTCGGCATCAAATACTAGCAAAACAAGCCGTGTATTCTGCTCAAGACTATTCTCGAAATTGCTCAATGGTGAAAAAAATACAAAAAATTAGTAGTGAAATGAGCTTACAAAAATCATGACAATAAGATACTAAAAAAGTTTGTATGTATACCTTCATTAATACTTTCAAGGGAATACTTCAGCTAATGGGACTAAAATCTCAACACTTTGAAAGCTTTTCAAACTAAGATACCGAACAACAATCAACAAGAGGTTCCMAAGATACAACCATAGGCTAAACATCGTTTGAAACMGTTTCTACATTTTAATAACCAGAATGAACARCACCGAGAAATAATAGAAATTATTTCAAGCTTTCATTAATTGGTTTTCGATTTTGAAGAGAATTCAGACTAATAAGACTTGAATTTCGACACTTTTTAAGATTTTCCAACGGAAAAAATAAACAAATGATGCAAAACTGTATTAGTGTTTTTGACAATATTGATACAAAGTCAATTAAGCCTAATTGGTAATTACTTCAAAGTGGCGAGGAGAGGAGGACAAAAAATGAATCAAAAGAAGCCTGTACCACTAGATAAATAAAAACAACAATACTAACAACAATAATAAATGCACTTCTTTATCACCGACATTTTTAGTTCATCTTAAAAGTTACAATAATCAGCATTACCTAACGAAAATGATGATTCACTTTTCGACCAATTTTGCTAGCGAATCTCATTTTTACAATTTTCTTTAGATCACACCGACTTGTCACAATAATTCAAGGATATCGATCCAAACTAGCTACTATTATAAAAACAATATACATTAACAATCTCAAATTTGCGATTTGTTGTAAATTGTAATGACGGAAGCAATCAATCTATCGAAATCTTGTGATAGTTCRCAATCGCCGCAGAAAGAGACCACTCGGGACGATCAACATTGTCGCAGTTCTGACATGTTGTTTATATTTTGGCTTGCACGGCATGTAGAAGAACAACATACTTTCATGTTTCCGCGTTGCTTTTATTCAATTTAGTAAAGTAAAGTATCCCGCAGTGATAAAAGGAAAACTATCTTCTCTCTTATCCAAACTGCTGGTATTTTTAGTGTATTAAGCCAGCATTAATTAACTACGATTCGATGGCAAAACAGGTAAAGTGTAAATCGTAACGGTCATCCACATGAGGCTCCAAATCAAACCACTAAAAGGAGATTTCAAGCGGTACACACATCTAACGAAAAACATCATCTCAGTTAACTGACTGAGCCAGGTTAAAGGTTCTTGTTATTGATAGCGTTCTCAGTAAATTGCCGTGTTTACCTTGCTTTCTTGGAGTTGCCTAATCCCGTCCGGTTACTGGCTTCATAGTTTATAGATATCACACTCAAAATACTCCTCAAAAAGACGTGTATGGCTAGAAAATACTCGAAGATATCCGGACATCTTTGAGAGTGCTCAAAAACAATGTGGCAAGCGCCTGACAAATATGACAGTTTCCATTTATAGGACAAAAAATAGCCGAAAACAGAAGGCAAATACAAATAACTCGATAACAAACGGGCCTAAATATGATTTTATCATAAGATTTGATTATTTGGTGAAGAATTTAAAAGCAATTGAGCAAAATCATGACCATCAAAACAATTGAAATCAGAATATCAAAACCCAATTGAATTTGTCGCACGATCAATTGAGGAAGTACCCTGGATATGTCAGGAAGGGAAATCCATTGATATATACCTTAAAGCCTTAACAGAAGATTCTTGGTCGAACAAGGACAACGACTTGCTTGAGTTTCACTTCCACACTGGCTACAAAACCTCAATCTAAATATTTTGGTTAGTTTCTTTGAGTACCTGTTGATTTGGAACGGACCCTCTGGGCTTAATTTACACGTCCATATAAGGCACGGGTATTTTACCAAGTGGGCTTTCCCTTTTTCTGGTTGTCTATTGAAGCTTTCCGTTGAGCTGCGAGCTCGTTTTCTATCAGGTAGTCTGTTAATGAGGTATCAGTTTCTGTTTTAAGTGGTTTTCGCTTGCTTTAAATGATTGAGCGAGGCTATCGGTCCCTGCTGTGTGGGTTATTGATTGAACGATAGATATCACTTTTCCTGCAACTAAGCTTACTTAATTAACTTATTTTTGAAGGAAAAGGCTTTCAAACCGAAACAAAAGAACTGGCTTGGAACACTGGTGAAATCAAAATGACAAAGTAAAAAAAAGTGAAAGACCAATTGAGAGCCAGCTCAATAATGGCGTTAACAAAGATAATTTACAAAAATATCACCAAACAGCATGATTACGAAAAAAGATATTTACGCAGAAATAAAGTTTTCGACTAAGAACTAACCAAGGACTAATTGTAAAATCTCAAATAARGATAAGGGCCAGTCAAAGTCAATATGAATTGAAAACTAAACGTATTCTATTCTACATTCACTGACAGAGGATACGAAGACCTTTCAACTTCATAAATGTTTTGATAAACATAAGCTCCACAGTATACCATAATCAATATTTAGAAAAAGACCACCTTCGCTTCCCAATAAACAGCCTAAAGATATTTAACAAAACAAAAGGGGAGGTCTGTCGGCCACTTAAGCAACTGACATAATTTCGACTGCTGTCTGACTAGCGCGTTATTAATATCTTTCTACAAATTTCATGAACTAAGCAAAGTCAGTCTTTCCACTAATTATGGAGAAAACGTGAACGGTTTTTTGATTATCAACAATTGGAGAATGAAGATTACTAACTGAACAAAAGGCTCTTTAACTCGCCCCTTTCAAGGACTTATGAATAATTGAAGGTTTTACTAATATAAGTTATTTTCTGGCCAAGTGATAAACGGTAGCTTGTTCTGTCACCTTTAAAACCAAGCAAGTGTCACTTTGGAACAAACATAAGTCGATGAAGTAAAAAGCTAATTACATCAAATAGATGCGAAAAACTACCAGAGCWTTGCTTACAGTGTTCGTTTATACATTAAAAGATCCGTTAGGATATATATAGTTAAATGTTCTTTACTCTCGMCCCATCAACAAAGTCACACAACCTGCTACAACAAAGAACATAGCATCTCCTTTACGAGTCGTTTTTTTGTTSAGATAATGGAAATATCGAGTAAAGTGGAAGTCAAACAAACAGGTTGAATTTCTTTTAAGTACAAATAGAAATATAATCTTAATTCGATAATTAATTTATTAGTGATTTTGTGCTTTCGTTAATAGTATTTTTTTATGAATGGTGCTATGAAGATTTTTATAAGTCGGTCAGACATTTCTCAATCGAAATGGCAAAACACGTTTTGCCGAGTGGAGCAGTGTAGAATGGCTTGGCCTCTGCAAGTGCAGTCTCATAAACCTTCTATTTTCCATCTGYAATTTATACACAACAMCTTTTTGTYTATAGCTTATCTTATTGTTCTCAGCTTTGGGGACTCGGCTGCCCTTAGTACYAAMTCGAGATTTCAAATGAAT